TCATCAGACCCTTAAAAATCTCACTCGATCTCCCAAATTCTCTCTGAACCTTACAGATTTCTGTTTTGTCCCTGTATGGGAGAGGTTGGTATGTCCTTGTACCATTTCTTCTCCCTAAATAAACCACTGGAGCTATAGATGGTATAGATTCCTCGATAGGGGCAGGCTTATGTCCCCCCCGCGCCTCCCCCACCTCGGTGAGGGGCAGCTCACCCCCCCCCCTCGGGCTGTCTGCTCCGCGGTGCAGACTCGGGCCCCGCCCCAGCTCTGAGCTGCGGAGCTGCTGTGCCCCGCCCCCGCCCCGCCGTGAGCCGCTGGGCTGGGAGGAGTGCAGGGACCGGTCCCCCCCTGTTCCCGGGGCAACCCGGGGGCTGGCACTGATAAGGAAGGTGGGGTGTTGCTATGGGAGATAAGCAGGCGTCGGAGGAGGGGAGGGAGGAGGGGGTGGGGGCGGAGGGGGTGGCGGAGGGCGGGGGAAGCAAAGGAATGCGAGTGGGAGGGGGAGTGGGGGTTGGAGCGGCCCGCGCCGGCGAAACCACATGGCCGCCGCCATTATCTGGCCGCGTGTGCTCCACAGATGCCGTGCTGCTCTTTAAGACACACTCCGGGCTGTATCTCTCAGAAAAACAAGGTGTCAGAGGGGAATAAGGGGTGGGTGAGGCGTTTTCAGGGCTGGGGTATTGAGGAGGTGGGGAGGAAGGGGAAAAGGGGGTGTTAGAACTGTGGATCTGCGTTTGCATGCTCTTTTCTGCTTCTAAAATATTTTTCCGTGCTTGTAAAAATATCGGAATAAATCGAGAAACTTTATGTTCACCATTTTCGACTTTTAAAGTTAATATCTGTCCAATTTGATTCCAAAAAGCAAGCGAATTCAGGTCCTGCACAGTAAAATTTGGTATTTCTGTCTTTAGCCAGCACACAAAACGCAGGAGGAGCTTGTTAGGGAATGATACATTGTTTAAGTTATTGCTAAGATGTGTTAGTATACTCTTCTGTTGCAGTGAAATGTTAGTACCCATGATTTTTAATTGTTTCACTGGTCTAGTCTCCACCAGAGCTAATAACACAGCACGAATGATTCGAATTTCCCTCCGTGGAAAACCCGAGCGGGGGGGCACAGGGGGAGGGGCGCTCGTCCCGCCGCTGCCGGGGCGGCTTTAGCCCGCTCCTCCCGTGCCTGTTCCCCCCTGGAACGTGGGTATGCGCAGCCCACCGATTCCTGCTTACTCGCAGTGGGGTCCTGGCTCCCCCTCCCGCAAGCAGCCCCCCCCAGTCACTTATGGTAGCCTCTCCCGGCCAGGCGCGGTCCCGGGTGCCGCGTCGGAGAATTTACCAAGCCTGTGACTGCGGGATTCGTCTGTGAAACCCTCTCTGGGGGTTCCCTCTCCAGTCGGCTCTCCTGTGGTACGCAGGCAGAGGTCCCCGACTGTCCCCCGTGACTCAAAGCTTTTAAAGGCAGCTAGAGTACCAGGGCAGTTGACTGTCCCAAAAGCTTTTGACTCCCACTGAAATAGGGGGTCCAGCTTTTCGTGGGCTCAGAGCAGCACACGTTGGGCGCCAACTGTTATTTCTATGGGTTTTCCTCCCCTCCACGCAGCCCCCCGAATGAATCCGACTAGCTCAGAGATATGGGGCTGTGAGGGGAGGAAATAGCATGGAGAGGGAAAGGTATACAGAAGAGGCTCCTTACCCCAGGGTGTTGGAACAGCTCTCTTTATTCTGTGGTGTCCATGGAGAGCGGGGCAAAAGAGAGAGAGCAGGAAGTTTCAGGGGTCTATATAGGTTTTGGACAGGGTGGGCTCTCCTGGCTCCCCGCCAACCCCATTGGGGCAGGAGGGAGGATTCAGGGGTTATCATGATCAGAGCCACAGAGGCCCTAGGAAAGGGGGGACAAAAGGGTGTCCAGGAGCTCACCGTAACAGAGATGTTCTCTCTCTGACACAGAAGGACAGCTAGCACCTTGGCAGAACTTTTGGAGCTGGTCAATCAGTTCATCTCAGGCCGATAGGCAGTGAGATTGATGGCTGATGGTGTTCTGTAGTTCTCCTGCATTGCCACTTCAAACAGCTGCTTGGGCTGACCTTGGACCAAAGGATTTTGTAATGGGGTCATTGTTAATCCCTACAGACAGCAGGGAGTGAGAAGAGACACCCATTCCATGTGGCAGCATCTGCCTTCACAGCTGCTGGGACACATGGTGAAACTGATTACTAGACAGGATCTAATGCTGGAAATGCAGCTGGAGATCTGAGCATCAAACCTTCCAGGGGGTCATAGCAGTGCTGTGATTCTCTTCCCAAGCTCCCCACTCATCCAAAACCATAGGACAGAGGATGGAATCATTGGCTCCTCTGCCCCTGCATCCAGGGTGTCCACAGACATTTGAGCACTTTGCCTAGTGGGAGATGGGGTGAGTGCATTGGGACTGCTAGGAATGGGGCAAGCAGAGGTTGGAAAGGGAATTACAGGACTGTACCAATATCCTACAGCAGGCAAGGCCTGAGAGGGCTGTGTTTCATGGAGGAGAGGGGTACCCTGGTTGGTAGCATGCACTATCTCTGTCCTGCACAGTGGTGATGTCCCTGTCCATGCCCTCTGCTTGCTCCCTCATTACAATGCACATGGTAACGAGGCTGCAGGAGATGAGCTGGTTTGCAGTGAGCTTTGCCTCTGTGCTGGTGACCTTCTTAGCCTGTGAGGGGAAAGCTGTGTCCCACAGACGTCCTTTGAGTGGTCAGCTCAGGGATTGTTCCCTCCTGCAGGACCAGGGCTGGGAGGGATTTTTCAGTGCTCAGAACTCTCCCCAGCCATTCATATGGTCCTCTGGCATGGAAGACCCACCAGCTGGAACTCATCTGAGTCTGGGAACTGTGTTATAGCAGCTCTCAGAGCAACCCCATCATCACCACGTCAAACAGCGGCCTGAGCCTGACAGGCATGAGCCCTGTCACTGCCTCAGTTTCCCTTCTTCAGCAGATCCTGTGCCTGGTTCTCTCCGAAACCTTTTCCATGGACAGGGCTGACATGTCAGGGCTTCTGCTCTGCCAACTCTAAGAGATCAAAGCCACTGCAGGATGCAGCTCCAGGGGACAAGTCAGCAAGCACATGCCATGGGGTATCAAACACTCTCCTGATCAGGGAGTATGACACTGCCTCACTTCAGAGATACAGTGAGGCACCCTCTGAGTCCTTGTGTTACTCTCCTGCATCTGCAACTGGGTAGGTGTAGAAACCCCAAAGTTTCCTCCTCCTGCCACACTTACCTGTGTTACAAACTTGTTCTTTTTCCAGAGCTCCTGTGGAGCCCACTCTTGGATGGTCTTTATGACAGAGCACAGCACGCAGTAGGTGTTGGTGCAAGTGCTGGTGAGGGTCCTGTGTTTTTTGAGAAGAGGAACATGCAGCCTGCTGGGACAGGTGTGGGTTGGCACTTGCAGTGCAGGGTGATGTTCATGTGATCAGTGATGCCACAGAATGGGAGCACTGGGATTTGGTGGCTTTCTGTCAGTCTCATAGCCATGCTCCCAGACTGCAATTCAGGCCTACATCCCTCTTGGGCTATACCCTCCTTGTTTTGTCTTGGCTCCCTGCTTCCTCCCCTTTTGCCAGCAGCTACCTTACAATGGTAGGAAATAGTTTCAGCTGGTCCTAGTCAAGATAATTTTATTTTGGGAGGTGCAGGAGCAGTGATTGTGGCTTTTTAAGCCCCTTTCTCCTGTATTTTGTTGGAAATCCTACAGCAATCCAGCTGCAGGCAGAGAGATCCCTAAACCAGTGCAGCCAATGGCTGTGGCACAGCACCAGTACAGCTGCCCCAGCCTGATGAGATAGCCAGGAAAATTATTGCCTGCTCTGTCTCCCCTTTTTAATTAAAAGCTGGATTTGGGTGACCCTGTGTGCCTTGTGTGCTTTTCCATCTGAGTAATGATCTCTGCAATTAGAGTGAGCAATCCTCATCCATCTCAGTGCAGAGGCAGCTGGGTCATGCCAGAGTGAGAGTGGCATGAACTGGGTTTGCTTTTTCCAGAGCTGGCGAGTTGAACAGAGATGCCCCTGCAGGACAAGCCCAAGCCCTACTCTGCTCTGGCCTGTAACACAGTGCCCACCCAGAGCCCTGCTTGTGCTCCCTGTTCCAATCCCTCTGCTGCTGCATTCTGGCAGATCCATGGGTGCAGAACCACACCCATTGACGTCAACCTGTGCCCCTGAAGGACTGCAGAGTCCTGCCTGGTTTGCTGCTGGACAACCTGGAACACCTGAGTGAGTCTCAGCAAAAATGAATTATATGCCCTTGCAGAAGAAGAAAACAATGTGCCCTTCATTTTCACACCCTACTGCTCTCTGTTAAGCCAGGTATAGGCCCTCCATCAGCCCCATTCCCTCTAGGGAGTCAGTGGGAGACTGGGAGGGGAAGGTGGACACTGCAATGCCTATCCTTGCTTCAGCTCCCTGGTCTTGGAGCAACCCAGGTGTGGGGACCATCACTGTCCACAGGTGTAACCCAAGCCTCTCAGCTGTGGGGGTACTAATTCTGCACTAGATTTGTTGCCACATGATCCACTGGCCTCCACGGCTGTCCTCTGTCCCTGGTGTCCACAGGTTTTCCAGCTGCTGGTATTGGACTTTAAAATCAGGGCTTGGCTCCTGTGCCAACAGCTTAGAGGGGCAGAACACCTGCAAGGCTGGAGAAAAGGTTATGATGTCATACAGATGCAGCAGTTCTTTCTACTTCTTGCAGACCAGATGCAGAAGCTGGGTCCAGCTTTGTGTGCCCTCATGCTGCCCTAGGGACTCATATTTCCCAAATGTTGGTGTCTAGTCCCGGAATATTTACCTCTGCCATTCCACAAGTCACAGCAGCCACTGTTTCTGGGACCAAGCAGGCCATGGTGTGCACCCCTGGTTTCAGTATCTGCGCCTGCTGGGGGCTCAGAGGAGCTGATGCAGTCCATACCCCCTCACCCTGGTTTGCTCCAATGAAAAAAAGGCTGTCAGGCTGGTTTTCATATGTATGCTTTTTAATATCATTAATTCCGTTACACTACACACAACCAGTAACAATGATAAATACTGCAATGGAAATGTTAAAAAAAAATATTATACACATTTTTCATGTTTTTGAAAAAAACCCCATATTCTAAAATAAATTAATGTATAAAACTGATGGTAGAAAAGAGAAAACCTGAAACAAACCATAACACAACTGATCTGTTTAAGGCAATACTCTACACAGACGGGAACAAAAGTACAACAGTGTGCTACATGACCTGAATGGGAAAAAAGGGAACAAAAGAAAACCCATACAAGATGTAGACTGATGCTTCAAGAGTGAAAAAACTCCCAAAACCAGATAAAAAAACAATGGCCAAGTTAAGTGCAGCATTAATATACTCTGCATGTCAAATGATTAGCAGGTTCCTAACAAGGACTAAGGTCAAGCTACAACAAATTTATCTTCCTAATTAAAAGGTTATTCAGGTCAAACCCTACATTTAACTCTATTTGTGTTTGGCTGTTTCAGCTATATTTCACTATATGCAAGGACAGCCAGAAATTCATCTCCTGCTCTTGAGATTAACACAAAGGTTGGGAGGTCTCCCGTCCTGAAATGTATTTCCATTAAATAAATCCAAGAAGGTTCTTGCTTTTGGTGACCCTGAAATGCCTCCCAGCACCCCTTCCCCTGGTGCATCAGGCACCACACGGGGGAATGGAGACCTGGAAGGCATTTGCTTAGGCTGATTTTTTTTCCCATGCTGAGGACACAAAATGGAAGTGCAGATTTGATTTGGACTTGGAGAAGTGTTGTTTTTCTGTCTGCCAGAAGTGTCCAACTGGAGCCTGCTGAAAGTACTTTTCCAGCATGGAAGAAACCCATCCTGTACACAGACTCTGGCTACAGCCATGACATTTGCTATTAAGGTTGGTGCAGAGCTCCACACCTGCCTGGACAGCCAATGAACCCCCATTATTAATGCAGCCCAGAACTTGGCCACTGGAAGATGGACAATAATTGTAATGCCAAAAAAATCCTTCTCTCCCTCAAAAAAGAAAAGAAAAGGGACAGTAGCCACTTTCTGCCAACTTCCTTGGGTGGATCCCCATCAGCTGCCACCCATTCAAGATCGGCAGTGCCAGATCTCACCAGCACTGACCCAGTACATTCCCAGTAAGGTGCATGTCGGCAAGGTGCTGCTGGGGGCAAAGAAACTTCCTGGGACACGGTCAGAGCCTCCTGTAGTGCCCTGCTAGAGTGCATGGGAAGGAAGCCATGAAACACAAGGAAAGAAACCTAACTGGAATTACTAGACTCGTGAAGGCTAACCACTGTCTGGGTTGCCTTGGGTTTGGGTGGGAAAGGGGGATGCAGAACTGGGCTGAGAATCACTTTGGTGCAACTGCCTCTGATACTCATCACTAGTGCATGGGGCAGGGGGAAGAAAGGCGACGGCTGCTTTGAGAAAAGGGGAATGGAAGGAGGACGTGTGTGCAATATAACAAGGCTTGCAATTCTAAGACTAACCACTGGACACGGATACTGAAGATTATTTGTGACAACTAGACTATCCTTCTACTGCGGTTGCTCCTTCCCCCATTTTCTGGTCTGATTCTTCTTCAGTTTGGGAAGCCATGGCTGTTTGACATGATGGCCAGTGCTGACCCTCAGTCAGCACTGAGGGTCACCCCAGTCCTTGCCCAGCTCATGGGGTGACTCTGCTACAGGTTGGACAATGAGGTCTGGAAATCATGTCAGGCACAGACTGGCTCTGCACGCCAGTCAGCACCTGCTTTCAGACCCTTCAGAAACCTATTTAATGGCAGCTCATCTCCCTTATTAAACTGAAGGTTCAATAACCTCTGTGGAAGGAGTAAAAAGGGTTTAAAAAGTGCAAAAAGGGGAAGGGAAAAACCCAACTTTCTGAACTGTTTCCCCTGCAAAGACTTCATCTTCCACCAGAGTCTTTTTCCCTGCAAAACTACAGCCCCACCAGTATCTCAGAGCACCCTGCCCAACTGCAGCAAAAGCAGAGGCAACAGGCTCCCTACTAAGGCCTTTGCTGCAGGACACAAGCCCATACCAGGAGAAAGTGGGTTGGCAGGTGTGGGACCTGATCTGCATACCTGGACCCACAGCACTGAGGCCAGGAGGGTGAAGGCATCCGGCTTGGTGGGCTGCATCTCACCAGGTTTTGCATGAACCTGGTGAATCCTCAGCCCCACAGCCTTCATGTGGGTGAAGAGAAATCCCAGCCTCCTGTCTGATTCTCACCCTGTCATATTCACTGACCTACAGCTGGCCTGACTTTTGCTTGGGGCTTGTCTTAGGCCAGAGGCAGCCACAAGTTGAACACAGCTGCTACTGCAGCTTCTCCATGCAAAGAAACTGAACAAACAAATCTGTAGGCATGTGTCTGTATTCTATATCTCAACAAACTGTGTCTCCTAAATAATGGAGGCTTGAAGAATGTGGGTACAAAATGGAGTTGCAGCTATTTAGGCTGAAAAAGCAAAAAGGCAGCCTGGGAGAAGAGCAGTGCTTCCCATGGAGCTCACCTGGGACAGCTGCATGGGCAGCTAGGAGAGAAATGCTGCTCTGGGAGACAAAATATCTTAGCAGCTACGGGACTTAGAATGGCCTTTCAGTGGCCTTTTCCTGGTGCCTACTGCTTTCCAGTAGGCACCAGGGAAAGCTGCAACCTGTCCTGCTGGTGTCTGTGCTGCTCTGTGACACGGTTTGCTGCATGCTTGTGTGGGCCATGGGGCTGTGCTCTGTGTGATCTCAGTCCCAGCCTTTGTCTCCTCAGCAAGCTGTCAAAGGTGTGCTCAGATAGGCAGAGTTCAGCTGCTGTCATCCCAGGACTGCCAACAATGTCAAGTGGGGCAAAGGAAGGGATGTAGCTGTAATTTTTGGGAAGCAATACAGCAGCTCAGCTGCATAATGCAGGAAGTTAAAATATGGACCACAACTCCTATGAGAAACCTCCACTGACCTCCTGCAGATAATCCCGGGCACAAAATCTCCCTTTATGCTAAATTCCTGGCCCTTCTGCTTCAGGTCTTGTGTGGTTCTGTAACAAAGGCGGGTTTGTCTGATGAGGTGTGGTTTGGAGCAATCCCTCTCACAGCTGAGCCTTTAAAGGAAGAGACAAGTGTGCCTAGAGGTGAAAAGCAGTTTAAAATGAAGACCTTTGTATGCCTTCCTAGCTAGCCCCGTGGCACTGCTCCTCTATGCAGATGTTGCTTTTGAACATGCATTCCAAGCTTGCTGAGCCAAGCAGCCTCCAGGTGCCAAAGCCTATGGCAGTCTAGGTAAGAGTGGCAATACCCCAGGTGGGTTTGAAGTGAGAATGGAAAAGTAAAGGAGCAGCCCAGGCAGAAACACCAGTCTAAAGGCTAAGGTGATATATGGTTGCTAAAAGCAAGAGCATGAAACTGCCACGGGAATATCCCAAAAATGAGCCTTTCAATCCTCTGTTCCCATTCATCATGTCTTGCCATCTCAAGCTGCACTCCTAAATTCCTTAATTCTGCTATCAGAGGATGGTGCTGTTGGGCCACAAAGTCATTGCACATGTTCTCTCTGGGAGCAAGCAAACTCAGAAAGCAGTTGTGCAAGAGTCAGCTGCCAAGAAACTGGATAACATACCCTTGACAAACATCTTTCTCGAAAGATGTTTAACCTCTGTACTAATCTCCGCCCTGCTGCATTCTGGCATGCACGAGGAACATCAGAAGATGGTAAACAGAAGGAAAGCAGAGTAGTACTCTGAAAATAGGAATTAAATTTCTATAGCATGATATTTACATCCTGCTTCCAGAACTGTCCTATCAGTGGTGCCTCTCACACTTGGCAGTATCTATGCAGGATGGTGGCAGAACTTTGGGAAGGCAGGTTTCTCCCATGTGCTGCAGAAGGGAATGGACATCAAGAAGGGATGTGGCTTGCCTGAGGTTAGAGCAAATACCAACAGCAGCAAGGACCCCAGATCTCATTTCTGTGCTCTAACAGTCTAGCAGACCCACCAGGTCTGGATACACCCAGCTGTATCTGGCTGCAGTGCGAGCTCAGAGACAGGGTGTTTCTGGTGTGTACATCTGAAAGCAAGCTTTGCTTCCTGCTGGCATCAGCACAGCACTGAGACAGATCAACTTGGACAACTGGGATCTGCCCTAGGCCAAGACAGCACTTGGCAATCTTTCTAGTTATTGCTTGTGTTCCTTTTCCTGTTTTCCATCTGTTGCCCAGCTGGGTCCTTCCTTTCTTCAAAAACATCTTCATGTTTCTGTTGAGTCACACATAGGGCACTGCATTTTTCAAGCCTCCTGCATTCTCCTGCACAGCCTGCAGGCCAGACCAGGATCAGACTGTGCATGGAAAGGGAAGGAATCTGCTCAGGATTGCAGACCTGTGTGTCAGCCAGTGAACTGCTGAACACAGTGGGTGCCTCCTTTTGGGACAAGAGCTGGTGAAACAAGCCAGAAGGAGCTGAGTCCATCTTGTCTGTGGGGAAGCTGTCCTGAAGTCCCTCTCAAAGTCCATGCAGCAGGGATGGTCACCTGCTTTTGCAGTTGCAAGGCATCTGCAGGCAGGACAGACAAGAGAGCACAGCAGATCCAGTGGCCAAGCACACATGTTAGGGACAGACATGCCACAATGTCAGGTATCACCCAGTGGCTCTTCCAAGGGTTCACTTCAAGATGTGTCTGGTAAGATACCAAATGAGCCTTCAGAATGGGCATCAGCCTCCTTTCAGCCAAGGTTTATGTACAAACATAAGAAAATCAGACATGAACACACTATCTATAGACCTTTCTCAAGACTAGGAGGATGTTCCTCCTCCCAAAGACATCTGGAAATATGGAGTTTGCAGACAAGAGAGACTGAACAGAGTGCTGACACCCTGCTGTTCAAATCCAGCTCACATTCAAGGATACTACATGATATTTAATCAGATTAACATCTGATAAAAGGATTTGCTGAAACTCACATAATTTGGTGACTGACATTACATAAAATCCTAACAAAAGCCCAGTCTGGCTTTAGGAGGCATCAAATGCAAATTCCTTTGTGGAAGCACCAGCATCAATATCCTTACATCCTGTTTGCATGGTTAATTTAGGTAGACAGAAACGCAGCATTTCATATTCCATAGTGTTCCTCCCCTTGGTTTTCTGTACAACTTTGGATTGAAAATGTGGCCTGAGAGGGCCATCTTGTTTGGTGCAAAGATTGGTGAAAGGAATGATTTTCTTTCTTGCATGCCGTCTGCATTTAGGAGAGCACCAGCAGCTCTGTAGATTTTGTAGAAATGCTGTGACAGAGAGTCAGTCTGCGCTCCCGCCTTCTGCCTTCTTCTGGCTATGGTGGCAGAGACTGGTCTAAGGAGAGCAGTGCCAGGATAGCCATCTATCTCCACACCTTCCCAGGAAATCACCACAGCATAACCTCCAACAAGGGTTGCTTGAGCAGAGAGGCTGGATCAGATGACCCCACTGTGGCCCCTTCCAGTCTTACCTATTCTGTGACTCTGATGGCATACATAGAAAACCTGATGGCTAAAGCATAGGTCTGAACATGAGACCAGACAAGGGGAACCAGCCTCATCTGTGGTTGATACATATCCATGTGCAGTTCTCAACATTCCATAATGAGCCAACAAATACGCTGCATGGTCATAATTTGCTGAAGAGGCTGCAGTTCAGAAGGGTTAGTGTTCAGTTTTCTGTGACAGCTACATGTGCATTGCCTTAAGCCACGCAGCCTTTCTGATAATGACCCTACACAGGTAACTACTTTTCCCCACCCTTTCTACATTATTCTCCTAATAAAATATATGAACACAAAGCATAGAGAGGAGAAGCCAAAAAATTGCCATTTTATGGTCCTGTATTGTCATGCCAAACCAACTGCAACCAACTCCTTCTGTGCACAGGTAAAAATGCTTGAGTTGTGCTTTGGTTTGTATTTGGAGGAAACATTGGGTGGAACATCTGAATTCATCTCCCTCCCTCCCTAAAGGGGTGTGCTAGAAGCAGATGCACATCACAAAATGCAAAGGGCTGAAGGCAGTTGCAGGGTTGGGGGATGTCTCAGGGCACATGGCAAGCAAAAGCCAGCAACAGGGGAAACAAAAGGACTTGATAATGATGCCATGGGACAGTGGGTGTCACAGAATCCCTCAGATTGGAAAAGACCTTTAAAATCATAGAATCCAACTGTTAATCCACACTGCCAAGTCCACTATATGGAAATCTGTCCCTCAGAGGAGAGGTATTAACCCTGAGAGGTAACAGTGACAGCAAACCTCATTCTATCCTAGACTGAACAGGATAGTGCTTGGTTATTGCTGGACTCAGTGATGTTTTTAAGGGTCTTTTTGAACCCAGATGATGGCATGATTCTATGATGGCAGCTCAATGGAGACCTGTGGCATATGCAGCCCTCAGTGGCTGGCCCAGGTAAAGAGATGGCTTGTTGCTCTAGCAGGCACTCCAAAATGCTCTGAGCTCCTGAGCAAGGGCTGTGGGAAGGGCTGAGTGTGTGCAGCCTCGCTGGATGGCAGAAACTGACCGAGGAGGATAAATGTGATGAAGATATTCCATGATACCAGTGCTGAACTGCAAAGTCCCTCTCCAGAAGAGTGAAGATTTAGCGAGTGCTGGTCATGTCCTATAGGATTTGGTTTTACCATGGTATTTCTATTAGGTTTTGACGATATTCCCCATTAAAAAAGACTCCTTAAAGAATGTTATTCCCTTTTATCTTTCTCTCTACTCTCTACTTCCCCCACCTCCAGACAACCTTGTACCTGAGTTGTATTTTGGAAATATTCCCTCTCAGCATACCAGATGGTGAGAAAAGTAGATGAATTCACTTAAGGAACACTATCCCTACAAAAGATGGCAAGTCAACCATCACTTCTGCATGAAGAGGCAGGGACGCTCAGTAAACAGCACCATTCAAGTCCTCCTTCTATGGCCTGGAACTAGGGTGGCAGCATGTTGTTTTAGGCAGAGGAGACAAGCACAGCTTTAAAAGTTGTCAATACCATCAAGTAAATAAATCCAGGAATCTTGTGTGCCTGTTCTTTCACTCAGACTGTGGCTGGTATCAAGCTTTGCACTGCACAGATTAAATCTCCAGGATGTTAAAGAAAACCTCCTGCTAATTAAGACTTCTTAAAGCCTCAGCTCACTTCATATAGATTTCAGATGGGGGATCTGTCTGTTGTGGTACAGCTCAAGGTCTGCTTTGTGACTCAGGAATTCTGATGGGAAACTCAGAACTGGCCTTATTTTTTCCTTTCCCGGGCTACAAAGCAGGTGATGACCCAAGGCAGGTTGTTCTTCCCCTTGAAAGGCCAGGAAAACACAAGAATCTGTGGCAAAAGATTTCAACACCAAGAAAAATTCCAGCCCATCCCTTGTATATGCTGCAGTCAGTGAGAGAACATGTTTCCTAATTCCAGAAGTGACTCTGCATTCGAAACAATCTGCTGGTGAACTGGGAGCTCAGGCCAGCTACCTAATCCAACAGATTTCCTAACTTTTCCAGCACCAACTGCTCCTGACCTGGGACCATGTCTGGAACAGTAGTTTCCTCTTATGGGCATCTTTCATCTGAAGCTGAAAATTCCTCTCAAGTCTGACCCCACCACACTGATGACTTCAGCATTAATGAGTTTCTCCCACAGGCACCCAGAGACACAGTGTCAAGGGAATATCAAGAGTCAAGCACTGTCAAAATGTGCTGTCTTCAACTACCGTTTCCAGCACTGTTCTTCAGGCTGTACATCTCTAGTCCTGACTCAAGGAGGATTCACTTCTTCTCAGCTGAACAAAGTTTAAGAGTTTTGGAAAGAGTTAGGTTGCACACGGATTAAATACAAGCTGAAGTCAGAATACGTGACTGAACTGAAGTCACAAGTACGATTGGTATTCCTGGGAAATGAGCAAATCCTTGAAGGGCATGAGTGGATTGCAGATCTCATCTGATGTGTTTGGTGATAATTTAGTGTGGCGCTAAGGGTAGATTGCATTGGCTATGTGACACAACAGCTGTAGCTAGTACTGACTCACAGTGAGATGTCAGCTACTTGTCCCTTTTGCAAGTGAATGAATTGTATTATGCTAGTCCTGGCTAGCCTTGCCATAAAAAAGGATGCCCTGGTTCGTCCCCCTTCCTGTGCCCCAGTTATATCATTTTGGTTATGCAAATGGAACAGGTTTAGTGAATGAATTAAGAACTGACTTCCTCCCATTGGTAAAACACTTTGATACCTCCAACTTGCCCTAATCTTGCAGATGGATTGGTTTCAGTGGGCAGGATTACCTGAAGTCCCACCTGACCTTTCCCATTCTGGAAAAAGACACTTTACAAAATATCCCCAGTGCCTAAACAAATCAAGGAGGTATCTCTGGACCCCTCTGCATTCGCTCTCCAGACCAGTCAGCTCTGCCAGGCACTGCCTGGCACATTGAGCAACTTCTCTTTTGTTTTACCATAGTTTAAAATAAGTTATCAACCAATCATAAAATGAATTTTTTGGTTTCTCCTGGCTCCATGAACACAAAGAGGTGCACGTCCTACCATAGGAGGAAGCAATGGCTGTTAAGTTTTACAGTTATAGTGGAAAGCACTGATCACAGCCTGCCGGCCTCACTACTGGATGTGACAGGCGGTGGAGGAGGTGGCTTGGCAACACATGCAGGTAGGGTTGACCGATTTAGGGGGGATTAGGTCGAGGTCCTCGTCATCCGGGATCTCATCTAACCGGTACCCATCCTTTAGCAGCTGGATGTTCAAGTCTTGGTTGATCTGCTGCAGACAAAGAGAGGAACAGTCAAACACTTGGGACTTCTTACTTCTGTTGGTCAGAAGATGTAGGAGGTCCCTCATTTGGGAATGTATTTCCCCCCATCATTAACAACTGCCCTACAGTCCTAGTTTTTGACCTCAGGTAAGGGGAGGGTACTAGCTTCTCCAGAATAGGAATATCTAGAGTGAGATACACTATTTTGTTCTGGAATAATTTTTCCCTGAGGACAAGCCCTCAGTTAAAGTAATGCAATAATATTATTTACTGGCAGATGGGCAGTCTCCCCTCTCAGTCTGGGGCACACTACAGCAGTTAAAAGATGGTAAAGTTTGGCTCTGTGATCTCAGATTCAAGTGCTGTCTAACTGGATCTATATAAACAACACTTAGGGCACAGAAACAGCTTGGATCATCTGATATGGTCACTGCTCTTGGCTGTTTTCCAGGGTTTCAGGGTATTTTATCCCAGGAAGAGATACAAGGAGCAAGAGTTCTGAACATTTTGTGGGCAGAATGGCTGCTCAGCACCCTGAATGCAAAATCCTGCAGAAGCAGTAGCCAGAGGCTGAGCAATAAATTCATGAGAGAGTGTGGGAATAAACTCAAAAAAATGCAGAGGGACTAACAAGCCTGAGCTTCCTGCCTTTTCTCTTTGAAAGGGCAAGAGCTCATATCTGCAAGTCCTCCCTGGAATTTCTGCTTGATCCAAGTAAACACACACTGGGTGACCCTGACCACTCCAATAACTGGAGATCACAGCACACCCTCAGATTCTTTATTTGTGTCCTTGGCATACATACAGTTGCTGAGCTGCCATGGCAGACAAGATGATGCTTTTGTACCTCATGGGTCACTGCAGGACTAGGCAGAATGCGGGAAAGTACCAAAGGTAGCTGTGAAAACTGCTGATGGGCAGATCTCTGTGCCATGGCAATGAGAATATGGACCCACTGGATCACCAGGGTATAAAGTAACATGACACAGTTTCTGCCATGGCCCCTTCCAGACTCACGGAGTCTATACCACTATTGAATTTGTTGTGTAGCCATTTCTGCCTGTGCAAGGCCTCTACAAGCCATTTCTGGCTCTCTGTTATTTGCATTCACAGCAAGGATGGCAAGAGAGAGTATAACTCACCTCAGCTGATGAGTATCCCGAGGAGGAATATCTCGACATATCAAAGTCATCATCACTGCAGGGAAGTACAAGATACAGCAAAGAAGGAATTGGTTAGATGAGACCTCTATTCCCCACTTAGTCCTATCTTTCTTGTGCCATGAAACTCTACTTGAGGCACAGAGAAGTTACATCAAGGGAGCCTGTAGAGCAGCTTTCATCTATGACCCTCAGATCTTTCCATCACAGTGCTCTTTTCTGACAGCTCTTCTCACTTGCTCTCACAGAGAACATAGGTCGTATGTCACCATGGCATAGGCCAGAGGGAAGAGTGGAAGGAAGAGTGTGAGTGCTGCCCTCTGGCATGAAAACTCACTTAATGAGTCATGTATATCACCTTTTTAACCTTTTGCATACCTGTCTGTATCCAGGGCTACCAGGGGCTTTTCATCTGGACTCTGGTCTAGTGATGAGTAGCCCTTGTTGGGAACGACGAGCCTGAAATAATTAAATGTTGTCCATTAACCACACAGTAAAGCTCAGAACCACACACTGCCTAGGGTAAAGACATAAGATAGTTGGCTTTCCCCATTTCACTTCTTTGCAAGCCCCATTTATTGGTGAATATGTTTAAATGGGTGCAATTCAGAGGGAGCAAGCTGTATCTCTAGGTAGCCTACAGTAGTATCACAGGGATTAACACTGGGCATGCCTTGGGAACATATCCCTTCCTGGAAGAAAAAAAGCATTGGGACACTCTGTACTTCATTCTGGTAAACCTGTTTGGCCAGCATTGCCTGTCATATCAGACTGCTCATTTTTGTGTTGTCTGGTTTTTTTTCTGGCAAGGGTACCTGACACCAGCAGTAAGTACACAGGGGAAGTCAGAGACCAGAGCGATCCCAGTGTTCTGATGTTGGACATCAGGGATATTATGCAGTGCCTCTTTCTGAATCCCTATCCAGATTCCTGGCAACACAACATTTCTGAGGTCTCAGTACTAAATTTAGTAATATTAGAAATCTAAGTTGGTGTGCCCAGCATAAGAAACCAGTCAGACCAGCACTTTTTAAATTCCATTTTTTTGTGATGACTTTAAGTTAATCAGAAATGTTACAAAGGCTGAGGATGACTCTGCACTTTGAACTGCTGGGGAGAATTTGTGAAATGGAGTGCAGGCTTCAGAACTTCTAGGATAAGGAAAATGTGTTAATATAATGGTATCTTGTTCACAATGGAATTCTTTCATCCAAAAAAATGCAAAAATAATTTGGTTCACAATTAAAATAAGGTTAACTAAACCCAGCGAATGGAGTAAGATTTTTTATTCAGCAGATAAGAATCATAGGAGTGACAAAAATCTTAACTTTCAATAAGTTAAGTCATGTTTTCTCCCAAGTAGTCTTTAACAACATACCATGATGCACAATGACACTTCACTAGGAGTTTAAGAAACATAAATCTAAATATGATAATCCATCTCTTCCATGCTCCAACTACTCTCTAACTACCTGAAATGTTTTTATGCTTCTGTGCAGATAATTGCAGCAAACCATTAACAATTTTAGAAATAAGAAGTCCTGGCAAACACTGTCAGTGGCCAGGCTCAGGGAGAGTAAGATACATTGAATCCTGTAACAAAGCAGATACATAGGTTCACAATTAGTTATATTTTCTTACTGTGTTCACTGAAACATAAATTAAATAAATTAATCTAAAACCTGACATAGAATTTCTAAACTGCTGCACCAGGGGACTGGAGAAAATAGGATCCACTTGCAAAATTCAGTAGCCCTTCTCATGGAAGTGAGGCAGTCCTTCTGCTCCTGAGGTATGTAGGCAGGAAGTCAAGAAGCAAAGATGTCTGCAAATGAAGCTGAGATTTGGCAGCACAAGTTTGCCCATACATATATCAGAAGTGCTGACTCCCATTTTCACTCTCCCAGTTTTCCAGTCCCTGCTCCATATATACTCACTGACAGTTGTTTTTAAATCATCAGTGAACAAATCACTCTCAGGTGATTTAGGAGAACACTGTGATGATATTTACTTGATAAAAAAACCCACTACATCTTCTTCTTGAGAAATGTCTTTTTTCTTAATAATAAAAAACTTTAACTGCAACAGACAAAAACTTGTTATAGTGTCACTGCCATGATTTAAGTTTTTACCTCACATCCTGATTGTCCTTATCTTCACTTCCCACTGTCCTTAGAACAAAGTCGGGTAGCAGTGGTAGCTTTTGTCTACAGCTGCCATGGTATAAGTTTCTTGGTCTTTGTGTTTTTGCTCATTTGAAACAACACAAGTTGGGCCAAAAGGTCCAAGTTTAGGTTACCCTGAGTGGACTGTAGCACTCAGATGTGTTCAAGTGTTGTGGATGGTGTCATGGGCTCTGCCTGTGCTCAGAGGAAGAGCATCATCCCTACCTCATTCACATTTAATTTGCTTTTAGGGAGACTGAGAGTGTTATGGATCAAATTACTTTAACCTGTAAGGCTGGCTGCACCCTTGCCCCAGAAGAGGATTGAATGGTGGAGGCAACCTTGTACTAGAGGCTGGATGTCAGAAATCCACAGGGATAATACAGAATAACAGAAGTCTTGGGGAAGAAGAAGGAGGTGGAGTAGAGAGTAGGAGAGGCAAAGCACACAGGAAAACATATTTAATGAGAAGAGCAGAATGGTCAAAAAGGGGAAAATGCTTTTAGCTTAATTCTCCTGCAGAGACCCGAGGAAGCCAACAGTTCAGATTAAATAATAATCTGGAAATTTTGCAGTGTATTCTTCTGGAATATATCCTATTATACTGCAACTGTTACCCTGCGAAAACCTGCTTGAACAAACTTGTGGCATTTCCGCCTTGCTGGTGTTGCGTGTCTGTGGCAAGACAAACTGAAGCATTCAGAGGTGCTCAGATGTCCTGAAGTGAAATAAAACTGAGCTGGCTATTTGAAATCTTTTGTCAGTAGATGTCACTGCTCTGCTGTTTCCATCAGCAGCTTGGAAACAACAATCTCTACATGGAAAATTCACTCACGTTACAGGTAGATACTTGTATTTATCCCAGCTTCTCTCCCTCTAATTTCTTCCTCCACCAATTTCAGTGTTTCTAAACCTCTCAAGCAGCAAATCTGCTACCATTCCTCTCAGGATGGTAGCTTGCAGCCTATTGCCAAAAGAAAACAAGATTTTCCAGAATGTACTTGGAAGATAAGGAGGACCAGTGGTCATGGAAAACACAGCTGAGCACAGTTCCTGAATTTCTTGCTGCCATGAAGAGTCTGGCTCTTTTATATGGCCTCAACACCTGAACACAGAGAGGAAGCAATGCAGCATGTTCCCCCTGTATTTCAGGGGCTTAAAATTAAAAGTTGACAAGGTCCTGTCAGGATTTATGACTAATATTTTGGGTCTGGGGAATTAGTGTGAACAAGAAATCTCATCTTGCAGATGCATTGCATATAGAGAGGCTCTGATCTGCAGCTCCTATTCAACTTAATATATGGTAATCCAGGCAACTTTCCCATTCATCAGTAACTCTCCAGCATTCCGCAGATTCCTCCATCATTTTAAGTGAGGTCCTCCACTAAAACCTGCCACCTTTCTAGCAGCATGCAAAGCATGCAATCCTGTGGGCTCATGGGGTTTCCTCCCTTCTGAACACAGGTAAGTAATACATTGGTGTACTGAAGTCTGCATGGATAAAAAAGAAAAGAAAATATCCAGCTCAGAATGCCTTTATTTACAGCAAGTTGTAGTACTGCCTAATACTCTCTCAGAGAGCTCTTCCAAAGCATCTCCAGCAAAGTGTGACCATGCTGTTCCAAGGGTGGAAAAAGTGTATAGAAAGTCACACAGAGATGGATTATTTACAAGCCTTCATTAAATCTGTCAGTAGCAGAACAGGTCACTATCAAAAAGGAGCAGGGGAACTTACATTGACAAAAGCAACCAAGGCAGAACTAAGCTCTAAACCAGTCTGTGTTTCATGAAGCAACACAGCTCTTCTCCCACTGGCAGGATTAGGTGTTACTCAGAACCTGCAGGATGGCTCTATCAACCCCCGATTTTAACCTGGCTGGGTTGCCTCTGCCTTCTACAGGCTGCACTACCACTGGTACTGAGCTCAACTGTCCATGCATCTTCCCAGGGCTGGGATGCAACACAACACAAAGTATTTGAGCCCCCAGCTCCAGGAAGGGCCATCATTGCTCTTGCAGTGTGGCTGACAGAAGGCAAATGCAATGAACACTGTCCCTGACCACCCCAGGACCATTAGGGATTGCACTATTGCTGATATTTCTCCAGTCCTTTACCTTGTTCGTGCCATCACGTTGTTCTTCTTGGGCTGCTGATTAACTGGGCTTCCCATATTGCCATTCTTCAGGGACCCCTTCCGAGCCAGCTCCCTCTGCTTCTCTGCATAGGACATAGGAATGGGAAAAGCAAAATTAGAGCAGCAGCCTAGCTGGCTGCCATAAGAAGAAACTCAGATCTGATAGTGGCAAAAGGCACAGCAGAATTAATAGCAAAGGACATGAGCTTGACACCTCTTATGAAGGGATGGTGCAAAGGCCAGATGAGTTATGTTCCACTTTGTCCAAGGTCATCAGGGACTAAAACTAATCTACCTTTGCTCACAGCAGCCTGTTGACAGCAACACACTAAAATCTGGGTCTCGAAGCCTGTAAAGTCTTAGAGCTTCTGGATGAAACCCAGCTGAGGAAGACAATGGGCACAGACCTTGTGCTTGTCTGCAGCTGGTTGCTGCATGGACTCCAATACTGTGCTGTACTAATATGGCTCTTCCTCTAGCTGGGATGGGAACCAAGGGAAGTATATAAATTGATATCAAATTTTCTGATTCAAAGTCCTTCCTTGTTTCTTGTGGAAGATCAGTTGTGTTGAGTTACCAGTAAGTCACAGAAGTTGAGCTAAATGCCCCAACCTCATTGTGCAATGGCAGGCAAGGCTTGTATGGAAAAGCTGAGCATGGAGACAGTAAGGCAGGAATGAGACCAGTTTAAAAACAAATCTCCAGAGTGTGAGAAAATGCTGGAAACTACTTTTGTGGCATGCCTGAATAGGAGGTGTACCAGACTTCTTACTGAGGAACCTGAATAGTGAATTTGTTTTGCTTTGTCCTTTCCTGCAATGTGTGAATTCTGTTGTTGGGTTGTGTTTTTTTTCCTTTTGCAGATTTTATTTCTGCTTGGAGAGAAGAGCAGCTTTTCTCACTTGTGGAAAAGGAGCATGCTTCTATGGTGTGCCAAGTTCAAGGTGAGCCAACACTTTCCATTCCTCACAAGTCAGAGCAGGGGTACACATATCCAAGGCTCCCTTTCTTGAGGGAGATATAAGCAGCAGGAATGCCTAGAGATTGTGATGATAAGGAACATGGAGACAAGAGTACATACACTTGCAAACCATACCCAGCCTGCTCCTGCTGACAGCAGAGGTGAATAAATGCATATGGAAATTGTCAGGAAAAGGATTGGATTAATAACTCACTCTGGCTTGAGAAACTTGAGAGACTGATTCAAGACTGAAATCAAAACTCAGTACGGAACTTGGAAATACAGTGGTTACCTCTGTCTCTAGAATAAAAGACTGGTAGTTTGCAGGGCACGTGAATTTTGCTGTTCAGAGAGAGATAAAGCGAAACCATGGAGGCAAATATTTGCGACACTAAATACAATCTAATTTCCACTCATCTCCACAAGAAGCTCCAGTGCTGACCACAAATACACAGCACTAAGACAAGCTGCCAATGCTTTACAGTGCTGATGAAATTGTTACAGGGGGCTGAATACAGTGTGAGTGCAGGTGTGATGGCTCATGGGCAATGATCAGCAGGGCTGAAACAGACAGGGGAGCCTTAACCACAGCCAGGTTCCTTCTGGCTTTTCACTAATTTTCCAGACAGAAACTTCCTTCAAGAAGCAGGATAGAGCAGTGAAGATTGGAAGTGTATGAACAGTTTGTATGTGCCTTGGATACTACAAAACACATTCAATTAAGGAGTCTGAAGATCCTGTCTGATCATTAGCAGGATCACTGTGTTGGGTGATGGGTTGCACAGGTGGGTTCTGTGAGAAGCTTCCTGTATTTAACAGAGCCAATGCTAGCAGGCTCCAAGACAGACCTGCTGCTGGTCATGGCTGGGCCCATTAGCAATGGTGGTAGAGAGACTGGGATAACACAGTTAGGAAAGGGAGAACAATCTGCACTGAACAAACTGCAGTGAGACAGAGGAGTGAGGGTGTGTCAGAAACAGCCCTGCAGACACCCAGATCAGTACAGAAGCAGGAAGAGGAGCTCCTCTAGGTACCAGAACAGATCCCCCTGCAGCCCACAGAGAGGTACCCTCACAGCCCATGGAGGTCCATAAGGGAGCAGAGATCCATCTGCAGTCCATGGAGGATGCCACAACACAGCAGGTTAGTGCCTGTAGAAAGCCCATGTTGTTGTTTTGTTTTCACTTCTCTGTCCAGCTGAGTAATAGCGAAGCTTTGATTGGGTCTTGCTGTCCAGCCAGGGTCACCTCACCACAGAAAATCTACTTGTCTCCATGCTTGAGTGAAGCAAAGCAGCAGTTTTCTGTTTCAGTGGAGAACTTGGAGAATACAGACAGCTGTGCTGTCAGTCTGACTCATGGGGGAATTTGGCTGCACTGGTTCCACTTCAGCTAATCCTGGATGTTGTATCAGAAGAAGAACATATGTAGCATGTGAGTGCGTGTGTGTGTATGTGAGGAGGGGGTCCAGGATCCTTTTAACACTCATATACTGCATGGGGAACAGCCTTTCATCTTGATCTGCCAACCACGTCACATCTTGCCCCTCCTTTATTTCACCTTGTCACTTCATCTTTGAGACACTCTGTCCCTTATTACATAAAAATCATTTTAGGGAAGATGCATCTGCTTAAAGAATAAACCATTGCTTTCCTGCTAGCCCCACACTAGCCTGTGCTGCTTGTTGACTCCACCTGAGCCATTGAGCATCTGCTCCAAGTGCTGCTTCAAAGTAAGCTCTGCTGGTGACAAGACCATAGCCAAGCAGACTATGGAGCACTCAGTAAGGCAGGGGTAACACCCAAGTGTAAAGTAGCAAAGGAAATGCATGCTGCAGGCACAATCAGTACCACAAGTGGCCCAGCCTTGTGTCCTGCCTGGCAGTGGTCTCCTATTATAGTTGCCTGCAAAATTAATAAGAAGGTGCCTCAGCATGCCAAACACTCAGCAAACTGTCCCTGTCCCAGTATTCACTCACCTGCCTGATCCAGGATGTGTCAGAGGGTGGATGGACGGATAACTGCATACTGACAAGTGACACACATCCACACACAGATCCTCTTTAAAGAGAGCCAAGAGGGGGATGAAATCTTGCCTTATCATGGGAACACCTACAGCCCTAATGAATGATTTCAAGCATTGCTTGAGATGATTTAGTGCAATCTAAAATGGTTACCTGTTCAACTGGGAGGGTGTGTCTAGCTGCTTTATGATGAGAGAAAATAGTAATGGAGCATGGGAAGCAGAATGGACTTAATGTGAATGTGTTAAAACTAAAAATCAGACTTGAATGAATCCTTAAAATTATTTCTCTGGTTTCAGCATTTAAGCAAACTAATATCCAGTTTTAATAACAACTTCCAAGGTTTTTTTAATAAAAGAATGATGAACAGTTTGTTTGGAGCATGTTGCTATGTAGGGGTGGCCTTGGTTTTATGTGTTACCTTCCTCAAAACAGAAATGCCAAAAGTAGTCATATGCTTGAGTTGCCTGCGGAGCTGCTCCTTTTGTGACATGAGGCAAAGCAAAAAATGCAGGAATCTGGTGAACATCACACTGTACTATGCTGAAGAGATATTTGAAGAATCAGACACCCCAAATCTGCATTTCCATTTGTCCCAAGATAGTGGGTAAGTCTGGCAACGATCAGACAGTGGTGGGTGGAGAGTGGTTTAGGATGCCATTGTCACACTGTCACTGCGCTTGACTACCTGCAGCCCCCTCAGCTGAGGCAGCCTGACTGGCACAAACACTGTTTTATGGCAGATGAGGCTGATTTGCCTCCTTTGCACTGCGGGGTGGAACAAGCAGATGCTGACTGCTCCAGTCTCTTTGCCGAGAGCAGCTGCCTGGACCTCAGTAATTCCACTGCTTGTGAACCTGCCTGACCAGGAGAAGATGGAGCTTCCTGCTGTGCGAACAGTGGAGTGTGGACCCATGGGATTTGCTGAAGTGGAAAGAAAAAGACAAATTAATCCAGTGTGACAGAACTGTATTTTTTCATTTTCAAGGTTGATGAGATGAGATTTTGGGATGTATTTCTCTCTCTGTCCCTCACAATCAGCTAAATTTTTTCTGAGGCTGAGGATTCTGATTCCCTGATGAATTCTAATTTCTCAAGTAAGCTGAGAATTTAAATTACATGCTAAATGAAATTAATACGTCTGCTCAAATTCTGCTGAATGATGAACAGATTCATGAGCAAATGAGAGGAGAAAGAATGAAATGCTGTCTACAGCTTCTTCAAGCCCAAGTCTTGATTTCAGTTCACTTGCATTGCTAAACTGGGGGATGTAAGCATGAATCTAGGTAACACTGAAATCTCTACTTTTCACCTCTGACAGACAGTATTTGTCAGTGAGGACTTCGTCACTGCTTGGAGAGGATTTCAGGATATGTATATAAATTTGTGCTATGCCTGCAGGCTGCATAGATGGGAAGGTGTAAGAAAGTTGTTAGGTGTTAGGACAATGCTGATTCCAGTGCTCCCTGGAATGTAAGTGTGACCATGTGGCTGGCATTAGTGCAGCTGATGGCTGTGCCCACCTGCACTGAAAAAAAATGGCAAAAGAAAAGTGTTTTTTACTGAACAGGTGTAGCAGAAACACAAAGGAACCTATCTGTGGCCAGTCCCCTGCTGTGAACCCAGGGAATACAGTTTCGAGCTGATACAGGCTAGGTATCAGCACTGATTATTCAGGACAGGCCATGTGAATAAGGATATTATTTCAGTGGTTTCAGAAAAGACTGTTCAGATAGCAAGGGTCAGAGAGCAATGTCACCCAACTACCAACCTGGGTATTCTTAGCTAAAGCATGTTATTTTTCTGACCCAGACAAACGTGGGGAAAATAGTTTCTAACTCCAGCTGTGTGAACTGGCTAGAAAGAACTGGTGTGTGACTCTGTCTTCCAAGGTTCCTCTTGGACCAGGTTTTAAAGATCAAATAGCAGCATTTCTATACGTCCTGTGAATCTGGCTGCTGCTCTGTGCCTTTGGCATGGCTGAGAGGCTAGAAGTGATTTTAAGCTCCCTTCAGCTCCCAGAAGTCTGATGTAGAGCTGGTAAATGACCTACAGACGACAAAGTTAATATTTGTATCTACTATTCAAGGGTGCAGGGCT